GCACATCAAGATCATGATGATGATGATGTTGATGGTGAGGTGTAACCTTCTACTCTGATTCGATGACATAATTTATTGCTCAGATCCTCCCTTCTCTCATTTTTGCTTTAGTGTATTTTAGTCAGTTGCTTTTTAATTCCTGGGGCTTGAACTGACCACACTATTACGCGATTGGTTGGTTACTCGCCTCTTGTCTGGATTTTTGACAAATTTGATCATTAATTTTGCATATCTGTAACCTGTTTAAAATCGTACCTCTTTTCATAAGTTATTTAAGTGCAACGTCCTGAAATTCTCTAATAATGTTGCGTCTCTACTCACAAAAATTCATGTAATAATAAAAGCTTCATTCCAAACAGTACCTTTAGTACAAAGATGGAATTTTCAGCACGTAGTACAATGTTGCATTTGATTTTACCATTACTGGGGTAACAATTAACATAGACCAGTTACATTATTAATTCTCTTCAATATAAATATGACCAGAAAATAAGATTAAGTGATAATATTAAAAACATTTTGGTACAGAAAGTGAGCGCAAACCGAGGGCCATTCACTCAGCGTTTCTTAGAAAGTTAGTACTGTCCTGCCTCACACATTCCTCATCACATAAAATGTGTTTCTGCCAACTAAGATTTTATGGAGTTTTTATACTTAGTCATCCGAGCATAAAGTCTTCTATAGTTGCTCCTAGTTCTTCTCACCTGATGAGATGCCAGCAGAAGGTTTTTTCTATTGGGTGGATGCTCAGGGTCTGATAATTTTAAGTTTTTTTTAAAAATAATTGAGTATAAAGTATCTTTTTCGATTATTTCCTCTTCTGTCTCTACAATTATATTTATATATGTTTATATACATAGAACATTCTAGAACAGTAGTCAATTGCAATATTAGTGTTTTTCAAATAATATTGTTTTGTTACGTAAGGTCAGTGGAATTACAGTTCATTAAAAATGCATAAATTATAATAATAATAATAATAAAAATATAATAGCAAATAGAATATCAACTGAAATTAGGAAAATTCCACAAAATTCAGGACCATTCAAACCTAGATGGCCAAGGTAAGGATAATGTCTGAACTAGCTCCCTTTGGATGCATAAATAAGGCCTCTCAATGTGGATCGCAACTGTCAGTCTCAGAAATATGAAGCAAACGAACTCTTATGGCGAAGTTGTTGGTATGCGGTAAATGACTGTGAAAGCCGTCTCCTTGACATCAATCTTGTGTTATGTATCCACAAGATGAGATCAAATAGCGCTACGAATAGATTTTGTTTCACCTCTATTTAACCACGCAGGGTGATGTTCAAAAATTCGACGAGAAATACGTCTAACGGTGTGGCCTATGTCACTGCCTCCATGGAGGCAGTTAAATTGGTAGACACACATAGAAAAGGTGAAATTAGGCAGTTTATCTTCGACTCCCAGGCGCAAAATAAGAGTGGTTCTGAAGACACAACGTATTTCAGCAACAGGGATTGCTCTTTTTACCGCTTTGCTAAGGTGTTGTATTAGAATCTCGCTAATATTATCCCCGAGGAACAGAATTTGTAAAAACAAGGGCTTTTCAGGAACTATTTTTGCCCTGGACTGCCTTGATTTAAGATTCATATTCTTATCAATAAACTTTTCTGGATAACCATTTTTACTCAGCAACCGTTTAATACTATTAAGTTCCTCATCAAGACATTCATCTGATAAAATTTGCTAATTTTTTACAGGAGTCCATGTGTCTATCTACAATAGTTTCAACAAGCTGGTTTGGCGATATCGCACTCACCCAAGAAAAACTTTCCGTGCCATTCGCGCTGTAACAAATTCTTTCTGAAGTAGCCTAGGAATTATTAGGCTGAGGGGAGCACCAGAGACAGATAGGCAGAATACAAGAATCAACAAACTTAGAAAGTAGCGACGGAGTGATACCAGATTGTCATAACGTTTTTCGTAGAACGTTGAATGGAATATCTTACTAGACATTAAGATGACATTGTGAGAAGACGAAAGAGAACAGGAAACAGACAGTCCAGCGGTATTTCACATTTGATTCAATTTCAACTCCCGTGCGATCTATGATATTAGTACCAACACTTGTCGTGATTTTCAGTATGAGCAGTCATTAGTTTTATATGTTCGTACCCTCTTTGAACTTTAATCAATTTACTTAAGTTATGTGAGTGTAACTTCTTAGCACTGTTTCATAATTTGATCACCCTATAAACCAAAACTGATGTAACTCATGCAAGTATTTGGAAGATTTTGTGAGGAGGCGGTTTTTCAGAAACTTCAATCATTTATCCCTCTTGATGAATTTGAATAAAGCAAGAACAACAGTGTGGTTTGTGCAGAATAATATGGTACCATCGTTGTTTATTTCGTTGTCTTCTCATCAGTTGCTTACAGCTTGCAAATTTTCATAATATCAGTTGACAGAAAGTTCCGCAATTAGTGAACAGTGCTCAGAAAGTCACGCTTATATAGTTTTACACAAGGAGTTAAAGGTTAGACAAAAAAGATGTATGCACACAATGGTAAAGGAGTTAGCTAATAAAGACGAGAGATGCGTAAGATGTTGAGTGACTAATAAATTAGGTAACAGTAAACTGAGTTTAACTCAAATCATAGAAACAAATGACAAGCAAAATTACACTGTATCAACTCCAACTGTGTATGCAAATTTAGGTGTATCTGCGGGAGCATTCACATTGTGAGAACAGATAGATGGGCCTACCTCTGATTTTCTAAACATGTGCCAAAGAGCCTACGTCTCAAAGGAACAAACTCTTATAATAGCGTTCTTACAAAACATCTCCTCGATACGGGTCATGAGGTGGAAATCGCAAAAGCCTTTAAAAGTATCAATACACAGAGGAGTTCGATTCTATTATAGTTTGCCGAAAGATTTCTGTGAAACGCTTGAAACCAGATCTATGTGTTCAGAAAGAAGCAGTTATTTGTCTCTTCTTGCCCTGGTAGCTGGATGTCTTTATTCTCTCTTTCATTTAATTACGTATTCTTGGCTTTAACCTCACACCCATTTAACATTTGCAATTCTACTTGTCTCCTGTTTCTATGATTTGAGTTGAACTAAGGACATTGTTGCCTGATTTACTAGTCAATCTGCATGTCTTTTACGCATCTCTCGTCTTTATTACCTAACTCCTTTACCATTATGTGCATACATCTTTTTTTTCTAAACTTTAACTCCTTGTGTAAAACTATATAAGCGTGACTTTCTGAGCACTGTTCACTAATTGGGGAACCACGTGTCAACTGACATTGTGAAAAATTTGCAAGTATGTTAAAACTTTTCTGTACATAAACCTCATAATTTATTTAGGCTGTAGACAGCAGCTGATGAGAAGCCAACGAAATAAACAATGATGTTACCACATTATTCTGCACAAACCACACTGTTGTTCTTGCTTTATTCAAATTCATGCAAGTATGTTAAAGTTTCTTCATACATAGTCACGCTCAACTCTTAATAAGTACGCAGCGGAAAAGAAGCCAATGAAATAAATGATGGCTGCCTAATCTTATTTTGCACATGCACTTGCTCTGGCTTTATTAAACCACAAATCTGTCCTTGCAGATATCACATCTCACTGAAGATATCATGACTTCTTAAGACGAGAGCTTTTATATATGTCCAAACCAAGTTCACTTTTAACAGTTTAAGAGAATTTGGGCATTAGGTATATGATATTCATTGTAATAAAGGTTGTTGTATTTCCCAATGGATGAAAAACAAAACGATATTGTTGTGTTTACTGACGTTTCGCTATTTAATGCTGCTAATAGCTTTATCAAAGTATTATTAAACCGGAATTTACAAAATCTCAGCATATATATAACAAAGAGTTAAGGGGTGAGAAAATAGACTTAGGTCAATTTAAAAGGACATATTGAAAGTTAAAATACTAATGAAGATCACTAAACAAAATAACAAAGGTAATAGTACATCTGTTATAGTATCAAAACAAAGTTTACTAATTTGATCATCGTTCATGAGTCTGGGGTCATTTTTCGTTGTCAAGTTGGTCATTTGGTAAAGATAATAAAATCGAGTGTAGATTGTTGGATTTGATCAGTGTTTAAAATTATAAAGGCAGTGTGTGTTTACATAATGAAAGTGCTTATCACATTCGTGTTGATTTTGTCACTTCATGGGGGAGGGAGATGTTCTAACCAGGTCAGATTCTGTTTTAGTCCATCATTCCTATTCAGTTCAGACAATTTGGATTCCACTTGATATGAAGTGTTTCTGATATTAGACGTTCTTTATGATTTCTGAAGTTTTTCTGGATTATTTCAATATTGTCAAAATCAATTTTGTGACTTGATTCTATAGCATGTAGACCTATGGCTTATGATTTTTCAAGTTTTTCCAGTTCAATTGGATTTCTTGGTGGTCGAACAGATGCTCTACGGAGTTCATTTCTTCTGATTTTGATTTCTCGAGATGTTTGTCCGATGTATATCGCATCACATTCCAAGCATTTCATTTTATAGACACAATTAGATAGAGAATGTTTAGGGATTTGGTCTTTTATATGGACAAGGTTGCTTTGAAGTGTGTCTGATGTTTTGAAGAAAAATCTAATGTCGAGCTGATTGAGTACTCTTCTGATATCGTCTGACGTCTCTGCTCTGTGTGGAATGACGACTGTTGATGTCCATGTTTTCGGAATGCGTTTTCGGTCATACTTAATGTCTGTGTTGATTTTATCTACTGGTGTTTCTGACCTAACCAAGAATATCGAATTTCGTTCCTCTTGGAAGATGAATTTCGGAAGTTGCTTTCCAAGGATTACGTGAAAGTAAATAAAGTTTTATTAAGTTCTGATTATTTCCTGACGAGAATCCGAATTTGATGAGAATGACAAATTCCTATATATTGGAACTCACAAGTAGGTGTAAAAATGGAATTGTTTTCACAGTGTATCAGATTTTATCGATCGTGTTGTATTTTTTTATTATCACTTTCAAATTTCAGTGAATCAAACAATGTTCCATTTCGATGCATTCGGTGTGTATTCGACTTACAAGAGTCAAGAAAGTAGAAAAGTGACTACATTTTCCAATGTTTGGGTAAGAATATCATTCGTCATCCATGTCTAACCACTTTGTTATTATTTAGTTCTTCTTCAATTTGTTTGTCATGATACTCACAACAGTCACCGCTGTCGTTTTCTTCAAGAAAGCGTATGATTTCATTCAAGTAATTTATTAAATACAATCTTTGTTTGCAGAGAAATTGCTTCCGAATTCTTCATGAGACATTCGTATGTCGTAATTGCTATTTTGTAAGTTTCCTAGTTATCATAACATGTTCATCAAAATGTTGCACTGATCAACGTATTGATAGAGAACTTAATCATAATAATAATTTTTGCTTTATTCCAAAAACAGTACTAATGATACAGCAAGGAATTTTCAGCATTCAGTACAATATTGCATCTAATTTACTCAAAAAAACGACAAAAATACGAAATAAAAAATAAATAAACGTTAAATAATAATAATAATAACCAAACGCTTTTATAGCAGCTATTTAGCAAATTTCTGTAAGCAGTACGGAGAAAAATATGCATAAAGTATAAAATTATAGTAATAATAGTAATAACAACTAAAATAAAAATAGCAAAGTTATAATTAAACGACAGAAAGGGTGACACCATAAAATTACAGAAAGATGAACAATGAAAGGGTCGATTCACTATGCTAATTACATAGTAACTTATATGTTTCACGTCTAACAGAGTCTTCATCACATAAAATACGGGCTAAATACGGTATTGTAGAATTTTTGTACTTAGTGGTTCGAGCATACAACTTTTTATATTGACTTCTCGTCCTACCTGATGATATACAAGGGGATAGTTGTGAATAAAGAGGGTGCAGTGGGTCTGACAGTACGGCCTTTGCCTATTTTGTACAAGAATTTATGTGTCTATCGACTATAGTGTTGGCGAGCTCACGCAGTGGCAAACCACAAGCCCTACTCACAGCATTTAATACCCTTCGTAATATGACATAGTCTTTTTTGAGAAGCTCAGGAAAGACTAATGGAGAACAATAGAGTACAATAGGCAAAATACAGGAGTTTAAAAATTGCAGAACTAAAGGTTGGTTGATACCTTGTTGTCTTAACTTTTTAATGTAGAAGGTAAGACGAAACATTTTCTTAGACATTGATAAGATGTGGGATGACCATGAAAGATCAGAGGAAAGAACTAATCCTAGGTATTCAATGCTTGACTTGGTTTCAATTTCAGTGCCATCTATGTGTGCTACAGGCATCATGGGAACTAACTAGTTCATGTATGTCACGCCGATGCTTGAAAGTAAAGTTAACTGCCTGACATTTGGAAGGATTTAACATAAGACCACTTGCTGATGTCCAACAGAAAGCTATTAGGTTTGGAGCAGTCATACTCGGAAGTGATAGGCAGTGAGTGATACAGTCAGATCATCAGCATATTTGACAAAGTTAGTTTCTTCTAAATGTTCAACATGTTCAACAGGATATTCTTGTCTAACTGTAAAGCGGAGGGAGACATTGATTACGTCTTGACCTTATCAATTAAAGCGTTATAAAGGGATATTTTTTTTACTGTGAACATCACTGTTGGAAATCCTTCGATTCTGGTTGTTCAGTTTTCCTTTCAATGAGTGTTGAGTGTTCATATTCGAAGGATTACTTAGTCATCTGTCTGTCCATCCGCTGAAGTCTTTTGTCACTTTGGAAAGTACTCCCTTTCTGTTAGAAATGTTTTACTTAGTTTTTCTTCAGATCTACCAATGCGAACTTGACTGAAGTGAAATATTCCCCTGAACTGTATTGAAGGACGTGAACTAGATAACAGTCTTTTGAATTCACTTTATGGCGTGACAAAATTGTATCCAACTACTTGATAAAGCCGTATAAATGTTTTATCAGAGATAGATACCCTTCAATTCGTTCACGTGGTGTAGACATATGTCGATGTAGATATGATGGAGAAGATTTGTAAGCTCGGTTGTGGATGATTTTGATGTAGTTGTGTTCTCTGAGCTGGCTGGATGGTTTATTTGCGAAGCTTCCATTGCCTCACACTAGGCAACATGTTCAGCGCATACTTCAATATGTGGAAGTGAGCTTTTAGATTTCTCCATGAGTTTATTAGTCATCTCGCCTGGTCACCTGACTTTGAACGTGATTGCTCGTTTTTGTGTTTTTTCACACCATCTAGGCTACTTGTATCGCAACTGATTGTTTCCTTGATTTGAACTTTGACCGTTTGTGTGTGAGATTTTCTTCTTATCGACTGGTGAATTTTGTCTATGTTGATGTGTCTATTGATTGACGATTCATTGGATTACAAGGCAGCCTTCTTGGTATTTCCTCTGTCTAATATTTGAACGTTGTCCTAGTCGAATTGATGTCCATGGTTGTCTGTATATAGTGATATGAGGGAGTGGATGTCATGTCTTTTGACGGCTAGCTAATGTTCATGGGTATAACGACGAAGGGGACGTCTACTTTGGCAGATGTAGTGTTCTTTGCAGTTGTTACATTTTATTTTGTAGATGATTTTGTTTTTATTTTCTTTCGTTGTTGAGTCTTTCGGTTGACATAGAGCCAGCTAAATGAAGTGTTCTTGTTGGTTTGTGTGTGATGTCAATTCATAAAGGTTTCAAGTGTCTAACAGTGATTTCTGAGATGTTCCATATATATGATAAGGCGATTTTCTTTGTGCTTTCCTTGTGGGGCTTTGCTTTGGTAGGTTGGCTTGGAAGTATACGTCTTTTGATGATATTCCGTGGATATCCATTCTTTTGAAAGAATGGCGCCCATAAGATATCTTTCTTCAATTCTCCTTAATGTGGAAGTGATTCATGAGTCCTGGCTGGCCCTCTTGAATAGTGTTTGCATGCAATTCCTTTTGTGTATTATTGGATTGCTGCTGTTGCAATTCACTATTTGGTCCATGTGAGTTGATTTTCTATAAACTTGGGTTTCTCATTCCCCTGTGGTTGTTTGCTTGACTGAGACGTCTAAAAATGGGATTTTGTTCTCAGATTCCTTTTCTCTTGTGAATTTGATATCGTTGAAGACGTTGTTTAATAAGTAATTATTAATATTACTTATATTGAGCGAGATGAGTTAAATTCCAACTGTCAATTAGCAGTGAACGATTCTCATATACACTAATGTGCAAGCCTACAATATATTTGAGTTTCCTATTACAAACTAACACATTAAATTATTCTGATTCCACTAATAACTTAAAGATTAATTATTCCTACGTATCGCAGAGTACCTATGACCGCGTATATAATTGTAAGGGATTATCAAAACTAGAGAAAGACGACAGCAGATATGCTGACTCCATTATTGCAAAAAGTGTGGAAGGAGGGAAAGTTGCCCACTGACTGGAGGAAAGGTTACCTCGTGAAACTACCAAAGCAGGGCGACCTAGGACTCTGCAAGAACTGACGAGGAATCATGCTCCGGTCGACGACAAGTAAAATTCTGAGTCGCATCATCCTGGAGAGAATGAAGGACGCACTGGATGCAGAACTCCGACCAGAACAAGCTGGATTCAGGAAAGGCAAATCATGTTCTGACCAAATTGCAACTCTATGCATCATCATCGAACAAAGCATGGAATGGCAATCAAACCTCTACCTCAACTTTATAGAATTTGAGAAGGCCTTTGACACCATTGACCGCGAAGTAATTTGGAAAATACTTGAGTACTATGACGAACCATAAATATTCATCAACCTTATTCAACAGCTGTATGACAAAGGCACATGTCAAGTGATCCACAACGGAAAACTCAGCGAGGCGTTTGGAGTAAACACAGGAGTCAGACAAGGGTGCTTATTATCACCAATGATATTCCTAATTGTGGTGGACTGGATTATGTGTCGGACAGTGAGAAACGAGAAGACAGGGATATCCTGGACCGACGTGAAGAACCTAGAAGACCTGGATTTCGCGGATGATTTATGTTTGATGTCACACAAAATCGAAGACTTACAAGCGAAAACCGACAAATTAGTCGAAGAAGCAGGAAAGACAGGACTCCAGGTGAACATAGACAAGACAGAGGTTATGAAAATAACCAACCAACCAACAACAATAACAGCATCAGCAACATCCAGCGCCAATCACCATCAACGGGAGGGATTTGAAAGAGGTTACTTCATTCACTTAACTTATCTAGGGAGCATTGTCTCAACTACAGGCAGGAGGAACGGACGAGGATGTCAAATCGAGAATCGGGAAGGCGAGAAACACATTCATCCACCTGAAACCAATCTGGAAATCTTCGTCACTCAGCATCAACAACAAAATGGCCAGAAAGAGTCACCAACAAGAAACTACGGGAACAAACGAAACAAGAACTAATCGCTCAACAAATATGCAGGAGAAAGTGGAGATGGATTTGACACTCGCTGAGGAGGCTGTTGGGTGACATCGCGCGTCAGGCCAATGCTCGAGTGAAACCCGGAAGAGAAGCGGTGAGTGGGACGTCCAAGAATGACACGGAGGAGATCGTGTGAAGAGGAGTTGAAACAGTATGGACTAACATGGATGCAGGTGAAAAGTACAGCAGAAGACAGAAGCAAGTGGAGACGTGCAGTTGAAACCCTATGTTCCTCTAGGAACCCAAGGGAACAATAATAATAATCAAAAATACAGACGTTGGCTCTAGCACACACCCCTACATGTCTTCAGGCTTCGAACTGATACCACTGTATGAATAATTTTGTGTCATTTTATCCTTCATAAAACTTTATCATATAACTGCATTCAATCACTAAGATCCAATGAGATGTTTATCTTTACGATGAAAATTGGACAACTGGTTTGGTGATTCACGTGGTGATGAAGAATATTCCTTTCATTACGCTTGCCTTCAATAAATCGACTTACCCTAATACACTGAGAGTGCGAGATTTGAAGCATCAGACTGTGGAAGAATACCTATCTGAATACCTTCCGCTGTGCCTAATTCAATTATTTTTTTAATGGTTGTGATCTCTTTTTTTAGATCAGTCGGTGTCTTCCTACTACTTGTCCTGCTATTGGTGACGAAAATTCATTCGGACCAATTGGCTGTTACTCTGATTCTCAGAACTGTGGTATGTAACGATTTTTATTTATAATGCTACACTGTTTGATATTTTATAACTGTCTAACACTAACTAATATCTATAGTTGTATAAGTTGTTTGATTTACATAACCATTTTGGCCCAAGTACGTGAGTCTGTGGTTTTGATATCACTTTTTTAACTGTATTTGAAAGTGATACTACTGCTACGGTTTATTTTGTTGTTGTTGTCACTTCCCTTCCTGTTGTAAATTGTTTTTTCGCTTTCACTTTGTTGTTATTATTCCGATCGCTTCCTTCCTTGTTTTCCTGATTCTAAGGGGAGTAACCCAAACAGTCGCTTCTCTGTAACTAAGACGTCTATCTAGAAACTGCCTCCTCAGGCGTGGGGCTTGCTACCCCACTCTGTTAAAAAAACTGCGAATGTTGCGAATGAGTCTCCTTGTGCTAGAAGAAAAAGTGTGTGTGAGGACATGGAACTCCCGCACTATATATGAGACTGACAAAGCTGCCCAGATTGCAAGCGAGAGGAAAAGATATGATATTCAAGTTCTTTCTGGGAATATGCGGAACCAGATGTAATGGGATTGGACTCACTGAAGTGTCCACAGGAGGGTAAGTGATCTACTTCGGTCACCCAGAAGACAAACACGAGCACACTGAGTGTGTGCCTATCATGACGTCACCAACGGCAATGAAGGCTCTTATATGATGGAAGGCTATTTCGCCCACGATAATGACCACCAGATTCAACTCAACAGGAAGGAAAGTGTCAGTTTTACAATGCTATGCACCCACAAACAACGTAGACCTCAAAAAGAAGGAAGAATTCTACAGACAACTATAGGCAACAATCGACAATAATAATAATAATGGGAGACATGAACGCCAATCTGGGACCAGACAATACAGGAAGGGAACTCATCATGGGTAGAGAAGCTCTCGGAGAAATGAATGAAAACGGAGAACTCTTCGCTGACTTCTGCGCCTTCAACGAACTAGTGATTGGTGGCAGCGTATACAAACACAATGATATTCACAAGGCTACATGGGTGTCACCAGATGGGCGAACCAAAAACCAAATTGACTTCATCTCAATCTCAAGGAAGTGGAGGCGCAGCCTGCTGGACACAAAAGTAAGAAGAGGAGCAGACATTGGCTAAGACCACTATCTCGTACAAGGGACAATCCAAATTAAATTAAAAGCTTTCAGAGAAACAGGAGCTGCAGACAGACCACAAGCCAAGTTCAACACTCAAAAACTAAAAGACCAGGACACAAAGGACATCTTCACTGCAAGTATAAAAGTCAAAGCCGAGACACAAATCAACACTGGCGAAGAGGTCAGCGTCGATAAGCACTGGGACAACTTGAAAACAGTGTGAAGTCACACCTCCATGGAAGTTCTAGGCAGAAAGAAGAGACAGGACAAACAGTGGCTCACTACGGATACTTGGAGACTAATAGGAGAGAGAAGGATGATGAAACAAAAGATTATCCAGTGCATTGACGAGCAACAAAAACAGGAGTTGAATGCAAGCTACAATACACTGAACAAAGGAGTAAAGAAGAGTGCCAGAGAAGACAAAAGAAGGTATTATGAAACCATGACAAGGGAAACAGAACAAGCTGCAGGCAAAGGAGACCTCGCAACACTCTACCAAACAACTAGGTTCCTATCGGGGAAACGTTTGACACAAATTAGGCCGGTGAAGGATGACAATGGAAAGTCACTCATCAGAGAAGTGGAGCAAAGGAAACACTGGGCTGAACACCTCAAACGACTTCCAAATCGACTGCCACCTACAATGCGCCCAACCATACCGACAGCGGAAGCAGAACTACAAGTGGGCATCAGCCCTCCGACTATAACAGAAATCCTGAAGGCTATTAATTGCTAAAAACTTTAAAAGCCACAAGACGAGACAGAATCCTAGCAGAGGCTTTGAAAATGGACTAGGATATATCAGTGGACTTGATGATACCTATAATGGGGAAGGTGTGGAAGGAGGGCAAAGCATTGGAGGAAAGGCTAATTATTAAAGCTGCTAAAAAAGGACACTTAAGTGAATGCAAGAACTGACGCGGCATTATGCTCCTGTCCATCCCAAGCAGAATACTAAGCCGCATCATCCTGGAGAGAATCAAAAACGCCGTGGGTGAAAAACTTCGACCGGAACAGACTGGATTCAGGAGGAAAAAGTCATGCATCGATCAGATCACAACACTACATTTCATCATCTACCTTATTCAACTTCATAAACTTTCAGAAGGCCTTCGGTAGCGCAGCGTCGATCGAGAGGTGTTTTGGAATCTACTTCACTACTACGGGGTTCCGCCGACAATTATGCATCTCATCCAACAGCTGTATGGCAATGTTGCATGCCAAGTAATCCACAACGAGAAACTCACGGAATCCTTCGAAGAAGTGAAGAAGGGAGTAAGGCAAGTCTGCCTACTATTTTCAATGATTTTCCTGGTAGCAGTACACTGGATAATGCGACAGACAGCGAGCAATGAGGAAACAGGCATAAATGGACCCACAAAAGACACTTGGAGTATCTGGACTTCGCGATGATATATGCCCGATTTCCCACAAACTGGAAGATTTGCCAGTGAAAAGCAACAAGTTGGATGAAGAAGCATCCAGAGAAGATTGGCCTTCAGGTGAACATAGAAAAAACAGAAGTATGTGATGAAGATTCCTGGCCAAAAGCATCAGACACAGCAACAACAACAGACAACGATCAGTTTAAATGGGGAAATCTGAAAGAAGCAACCTCCTTCACGTACATCGTTTCAACTATGAGCAGACGGAACTGACTGCAATATCAATGCGAGGATCGGGAAAGCAAGTCAGGTTTTCATTTCTCTCAAGTCTGTATGGACATCAACAGCACACAGCATGAAAATGAAAATAAGATCGAAATTTTCAACTTCAATATGAATTCAGTGCTACTTACTATGCGGATCAGAGATTTGGTCAGCGCGTCATGCACGGCACTTCGAACAAACTCCACATCTTCATCAATAGCTAGCTGTTTTTGCTCAATACTACTCAAGATCAGATGGCCAGCCAGAAGAGATCAGTGAAGGACCTCTGGGAGCGAACCAACCAATCCAGCAGGAATCAATTGTGCAAGAGAGAGGAAAACCACCAAGTGAGGGACGTTATGCGCTAGGCATCACTTGAATTTAACCTGAATAGCAAGTGGCAAGTTGGTTGTCAGTGCGAGGGCGACATGGAGGAGGCAATGTGAAGGGGAAATAAAAGCATGTAGGCAGACGTGGAGACGGGTGAAAACGTTGGTAGAGAACCGAACGTGAAAGAGACGTTTGGTTGAATGCCTCCATTCCTCGAGGAATTAAAGGAAACAATAATAATAATGCACTAAATCAATGTTCGGTGTCTTCTGGATTTTCGGCTGATTTTACTGTTATTGCAGGAAATCAAATCAGAATGACCATAAACTAATCTCACATTCATGTGATGACAGATGACCTTGAAAATTTGTAATGCTGCCATTTTCCTCACCGTTAGCAAGTTGCTTAATTCAGGTTAGAATTTTATTTGATAAAATATGAACTCCATCCTGATGCATCGAAAATACTTAGCGTTCACAAACCCAAGGGTTTCGCACTACTGAGTGATTCCAGTCGTGATGCATTTAAAAGTTTATGCATGCGTCTGATTCCCATCAACACTAGTGACTCGAACGCATAAAACCATCGGAAATGCTGGTTGTTTTGTGACGCCAGTTGTTATTTTTAGTTTAAGCTAGAAATTCTACTGTTGTTCTTTCATTTAAGTGTGGATAGAGAAATTCTGTAAATAAAATAGGTGTGAAATCTGATTTCTTTTAGATTGTAATTATCTAACCATGATTGATTTTCATTTCTCTGTTTTCCTTGTCACAGATTGTCCTGTGGTCTGTGGCCTTCGCTGCTGTATTCGATCCTGTTGAAATACCATTTGGAGTGATATCTCTGGCTATAACACTAGTGATTACACTCATTAGTGTCGTGTTGGCTTTGAAACTGCCACCATTGAATCGGAAGGGGGTTGTCTTCTTCGTGGCTTTGACGATGGTTCTTGCTGTTATTGCAGTGGTTGCAAACATATTGTGTTACTTGAGCACGAAAGAGATCATTCAATTCGAAAATGTAAGGAAATTACCATTTCATCTAAAATGTTCTGCCCTCAAACGTTTCTGTCATAATTCCCTTGAACTAGTATAAAAGGTTGAATAATTAAATTTGTTAGTTGTTCAGCTGGCTTGGACTCAAGTTCGTTGCCACGTGTATGGACATTAATTGACTCTTTTCATTAGGAATTGTAGATGTAATCGTGGTACTAGACTGATCGCCGATAAGCTAACAAGATTGTGTCCTGAGTGTTCACACCTCCTGAATAAGTCACAGTGTTTTCTAGTAGAAGGAGGTGGAAGTCATGAGGTTAACACTTTTTGAGATACCTTAAAATGAATTCATATATTCCAATATCAGTATGTTTGATAACTGTCTCTCATCCTGCATTGTCCTCAGTTATTTCGGAAGCGGGATGGCCAAGCGGTCTAAGGCGCCAGACTCAAGAGTAGACTTCTTGGTGTTCTGGTCCACGATGTGGGCGTGAGTTCAAATCCCACCTCCGACACACGCTACGTCTGTCTGTGGCATTGCGGTTAGGACACTCGCCGACCATGCACATGATCCGGGGTTCTATTCCTGGCCGGCGCACTCCTTTATCTCGCTAAGCCAGAAATAAAAACTGGTAAAGAGGAAAGGTTGGGCATGTGGCTAGCAACCCCATCCTGTAAAAGTTAACACTGCTACAGAAACTTCTAGCTTCTAGCTTGAAGCCCTATGTTCCACTGGGGAACGTGAAGGAATAAAAAACATTTTGGAAGCACTGTAAGTCCTGATCCCTATTCCGCCGAATAAATAGGCGTCTAGATACAAGCGGTGTCTGTTTTGACAGGACTTTACATAAAGTGATTCATATGCAGTAAAATACTTGAATTAATTCATTCTGAAATATTTGCCGGATTATTTTTTCCTTCATTCTTAGAATGTGATATTCTGTGTTCCAGGGGCAATTTACATTGGATTATTTATAGCCTTTGTAAGTTCACAATTTTATCAATACTTTCAAGACCAGTGTTTTCTTATATACATATATGTAATTATGTGTAGTGGATTGGGTATTTGATATCAGAAGACAGTAAGCATGAATCTGTTTGACACATCATGAAATACATGGAATAATAAAAGTTTCCCACAACTGTAATATACAAAATGTGTTTTAGCTTCACTGGAAACTATTTCGATGGAATTTGAAGTGGAAATATGTCATGGTCATATCATATATAAATACACATAAAATGGACTCACACAAAAAACTTGGAGGATCTGGACTTCGCCGATGATATATGTCTGATTTCCTACAAACTAAAAGATATGCAAGCGAAAAGCAACAAGTTGGCAGAAGAAGCATCAACGATAGGACTTCAGGTGAACATAGAGAAGACAGAGGTGATGAAGATCCCTGGCCAACACCACCACCAACAACAACAGACAGCAATCAGCATAAATGGAAAGAACCTGAAAGAAACTACCTCTTTTACCTACTTGGGAAGCATTGTTTCAACTACAGGCGGAACTGACGAGGATATCAAAGCAAGAATTGGAAAAGTAAAACAAGCTTTCACTACTCTCAAGTCTGTGTGGAGGTCAACAGCACTCAACATCAAAAATAAGATCCGGATTTTCAACTCCAATGTGAAGTCAGTCAGTGCTACTATACGGATCAGAGACTTGCACCGCGCGTCATAAAGAGCATCTCAAACAAATTACAGACCTTCATTAACAGCTGTCTTCGCTCAATACTACTCAAGATCAGATGGCCTTCCAGGGAAGATCAGCAACAGAGATCTCTGGCAGTGAACCAACATAGCAGGAACCGATTATGAAACAAATAGGCAGGAAGAAATGGAGATGGATTGGCTGATCATACTCTGAGGAAACCATCAAGTGACATCCCTAGACAAGCCATTGCTCGAGTGGAACCCGAAAGGGAAGCTGTGAGTTGGTCGTCAGTGCGAGAGTGGGGTGACTTGGAGGAGGTCATGTGAAGAGGAGATGAAAGCGTGTGGGCAGACTTGGAGCTAGGTGAAAACTCTAGCAGAGAACCGAACGCAATGGAGACGCACGGCTGAAGCCCTATGTTCCTCTAAGAATTAAAGGAAACAATAATAATAACCTGACATCTGTCCGTGTTGCTTTCAATATAATAAATGGTAAACAGTGGATTTTCTGGGAGTGTTTCTGCAGACATTTGTCAAACAGGGGGGATGAAAACAAGTGCCACGGATAGCAGACACACGGAGGATATCATTCTACCATAACTTTAACCAATGCTTACCGGAACGTTAGCCGTGGGGCTGGAAAACCTACAACAAGAATTCAATCAAACTGCTATAAAAACTTCGATGCACATGAAAAACATTGAAAAATAAAAAGCATAAAAGAGAAACTTATTCTTCTCCGGAATCAGAGAGGCGAAATGACACAGCGGGCTGATGAAACGCCACATTTGAGAAGCCAATCAGCCAGCCAATTTGTCTTATCTCTCAGTGAAAGCAAGAATAAGAATGAGGACGTGAAATGTCCGCACAATGTACCAGATTTGAAAGACTACCCAGGTAGTCAGATGTATATGAAGATATTGCATTGAAGTTATGGCAGTCCACGAGAGCAGATGGACTGAGTGCGGACTGTCAAAATTATTAACTAAAGCGTGTGGTCACCCATACGACAAACACTAGCACGTTGAGACACTGAGAGAGTATCATAATATCACCAACAGTAGCTGCAGCCCCAATGTAGTGGGATCCAATTTCATCCCCCAGTACTATGACAGCGAGATGCAACTCAAAAGAAACAACGGTTTCAATTATCCAATGCTACGCATAGTGCTACAAACAAAGCGGAAGACGAGAAGAAGAAATATTTTCACAGACAACTACAAACAATAATGGACAACATCCAAAATGTTGACATCAAAATCCTTGTGGGCAATATGAATGCCAAGCTGACTGGAAGCAGATATTACAGGAAGAGAACTCATCAAGCGTCTGGAATCTCTGGCTTCACGAAATGAATGAGAACGGAGAATTATTTACAGACTTCAGCGCTTTCAATTATTCGGTAATTGGAGGCAGTGTGTGCCAGCACACACCACAAACCAGATGGACTTCTTCCAATTCCACTCGATGAAGCGGAGATGCAGCCAGTCTGCTGGACACAATGTCAAGCAGAGGGGCAGATATGGGCTTAGACCACTGTCTAGCTAGTTCAAGGAACCTTCAAGGTGAAGCTGAAATCCCTCAAACAACTGGAGACAGGTCTCTGTAATTCAGTTTTGACATTCAGAAACTGAACTGAAAGACAAAACCAAAAACGATGCCTTCACTACAGATCGGATGAGATGAGGGCGTTAGTGAGGGAATCTGCTTGTAGAAAAATATCGACATCTGAGGATGTCATTTTCAAGGAAAGGTACGCAACTGTTATGGGAAGAAAGAAAGGACGACCAATGGAATGACTCTCAGTAGATACATGGGAGCTATGTGGGGAGAGGAAAGTGGTCAAAGAGAAGATGCTCCAATGAAAAAATGGATAAACGAAGGAGAAGCTGAGTTCAATTTACACCTCACACACTGAATAGAGGAGTGAAGAAGATTGCTGGGAAAGACAAATGACAATTCTACAACGCAACGGCCAGCAACTGAAGTAGAACGGGAAGGCGGACCGCAGTTAAAAGAGACCTCAGGACATTATATAAGATAAACAGGTCTCTATCCGGGAAGTTATCAACCCAGATGATGAAATCAATCAAAGATGTTCAAGAAAACCTAATCAGCCAGTTGTAAAGGCAAATGAAACAGTGGGCTGATCACTTCAAAGGACTCTTGGATCGATCATCACCTGCAAATCGCCCAGAAATACCATAACCACCAGTAGCATGCACAGAACTGCCTGCCAATAGACACCAATCCTCCAATGAAAGCAGAAATCCAGAACTCGATCGAGCTACTGCATTCCGTCTAGGAAGGCAGAAAGACCAGACAGAATCCCCTATGGCCCAAAGCTTTGAAAACGGCCGCAGAGACTGCAGCAGATGTGCTCACGCCATTACTGCAAAAGGTTTCGAAGGAATGAAAGGTGCCTACTAATTTGAAGAAAGGCTGGCTACCTCGACAAGCTGCCAAAGAAGGGCAACCTTGTTAGGCTTGTGAAAGAACTGGTGTGGTATCATGCCCTTCTCTACTATATCACATCATCCTGGAGGGAATAAAGGATGCACTGGAGACAGAACTGCACCCCATCAACCATAACAAGCTGGATTCAGAAAAGGCAAATCATCTGCTGATCAAATTGCAGCTCTATGCATCGACAGCACAGAACAACGTAAAGAATGTCAGTCAACTCTGCCTATGTCTCAATGTCCTTCACCGAATTCGAAAAGGCCTTCACCAGACAATGTTGACAGGGGTGTAATTTGGAAACTACTTCAAAACTACGGCATACTGTGCCCAATTTTTTATCAAACTCATCTAATATCTGCATAACAGTGACACGTGTCAGATGATCCACAACTGCAATACAGGAGTAAGACAAGGCTACCTGCCGATTATCACTAATGATATTCTTAATTATAGTGGACTGGATTTTGTGTCAATCTGTGCATTTAGAGCGAGGAGACAACAGTATGCTGGACCACTGATAAGAAGACTCTAAAAGATCTGCATTTCGAAGATGATACATGTTGAATGTCACATAAACTTGAACATTTAATAGCGAAAACCAACAAACTGGCTGTAGAAATAACGTACGGAAGATAGGACTGCAGGTGAACGTAGAGAAGACGAAAGTGATGAAAATAACCAGCCAACAACAACAACAATCAGCACCAGTCGCCATCAACGGGAGAGATTTAACAGAGATTATATCCTTCACTTATCTAGTAAGGATCATCTCAAAGACAGTTGGAACGGATGAAGATGTCAAAGCCAGTCAGAGTTGGAAAAAAGAGATACACCTTCAACAACCTGAAAACAATTCGGAACTCTTCTGCACTCAACATAAGGAACAAGATTCTCATTTTCAACAGTAATATTAAGTCGGTCTTTCTATGTAGGGTCATGAAATTGTAGTGATTGTCACGAAAAGGATTTGCAACAGGTTGCAAATTTCATCGACAGCTGCCTTCGCTGGCTCCATAATCAAGATCAGATGGCCAGCGACAAAGAATCAGTAAACAACAAACCAACAGGCAAGAACCGATCACTCAATAGATATGTAGGAGAAAATGGAGATGAATCAGGCATACATTGAGGAGGCGGTCGAAATGCCATGGCGCACAATGCAGGTTGTTACTGGAGTGGAGTCCAAATAAGAAGCGACGAGTGGGTAGTCCTAGGGTTTGAAGGTGACAAGGATGAGATCTCGAAATTCGGAAGAGATGAGAGATTATGGGCAATCGTGGACCCAGTTAAAGTGGACGGTAGAAAATAGAATAAAGTGTAGAGGTGTTATTGAAGCCCTATGTTCCACTCGGAACTCAAGGGAATAATTATAATATAATACTGCAAAAATAAACCTAAAATATTCTGGAAGATGGTGATGAATCTTCAAATATTGCATTAGTGTGGTATTGACCACATGCATTACGCCTTATAATATGCATGTTGAAAGCAAGACCTCATTGACATAACACAATATGAATTTCTCAAAACTTCTTCAAAGTAACATTTTCGCGCTTTCACTTTGAATACTTTTCATCTCTTCTCATTTCAGGTGATGTTCATCTGTCTCAGTGTCCGACGATGGATAAAGCAGCTGTTCTATCCTAATTCCATAGAATTCATTCTATCCTTCACTGTTTGGTTTTTAATGATTAGCCTATTCATACAAGTGTATACCGGATTCACAGCAGAAGAGGTTAAATTCAACGAAACAGTAATTAAGTCGACCTACTTAAACACAAGTGTACCAAAACGTTTTCCTTTTTCATGTTGTGTTTACAATTAAACAAAAAAATTCCCAGATTCTTCTTCCATCTCTGAGTTTAACTGAATTATTTCGCCTAATTCGCATCATATTGTCAATGATTTCAGATTTCTAATTGTCTAATTAAATGAACATTTTGTCGTCGTTGTCTGATTTCATGTGTTCATTCAACGTGTTCATTCATTATGTATTCATTGTGAAAATATCACCAACAAGTGGGATTATTTTCGAATTGTTGTTTTTTTTCGAATTGTGGTGTATCTTAAATGTTCTCTGAAAAATAAGACAAATTTGTCAAGAGTATTTTCACTACTTTTAACAATAACAAATACATTTTAAAAATGTGGAAGCGGTTTACTTGAACAACAGAGATTCTTTATTTCCTTAACATGACAATTATCAAATCATTATGTCACAAGAATAAACAGTCAGAAGGATTATTCTATTTTATCGTCAAGGACGCTGTATGAGTAGATATAAGTATTTGCAGGACTATCATCTACCTGTGTTGTCACAGTTTACTGTCTGCGTTAACTGAGGAAGTCCCGTCGGGTTGGTGTAAGTCATTGAATCTCCCCATATACAAGAAGGGAGACAAGTCTTCCTGTGATAATCACAAGGGGATTAGCCTGACTACAATGCTTTGTTTCTCAAGTTCTAGGCTCAATAATATTGCTTAGACTAATCAGTCCACGGGACAAAATAACGCGAGAGAACCAGGCAGTCTTTAGATCAGGTAGAGGGTGTATTGATCATATCTTCACCCCTTTGCAGATTCTGAAACGTAACATAGCCGTACTTAGTGCCGTCCAACAATCGTCATATTTCCTGACTTAAAGGCAGCATTCGATTCTGTCCACCGAGAAGTACTATGGCGATGCTTGGCTGTAAAGGCAGTGCCGAGAAAATACATTGCATTGATCAAGGCACTCTACTCGAACTCATGCAATCAGCCAGGTGAGGCCTTACAGCGAATTGTCAAGTGAAGTGTTGACAACCAGTGGTGTTCATCAGGGAAGCCCACTATCCGCATTTCCGTTCAATTTCATTACAGATGTACTCATGAACTTAACCCTAATTCACTTCGGAGACGCATGGATTGACTGGTTACCAGGGGATAATCTCGTTGATTTAGAATATGCAGATGATATAGTCCTTGTAGGTGAAGACGCTGACAAAATGCAGAGTCTTCTGATGTTTTGCATGCGAACTGCTCCCGTCAAATGTAAGAGGATGCTACAAGAGTGGACTACATTGACGCCTAGCTTAGAAATAGGGAGTGAAGTGGCAGAGCGTGAGACCTGACCATTGGGAGTGGAAGACACGTATAGGCTGGCTAGCTGTCTTTGGCCATAGATGCCTGCGTTCTTTCTTGCGTGTAAAGTGATAGGCGTAATACGATGATCAATACTGAGGTTATGCGTCGAGTGCTAGGTAAGGAAGGAGGAAAATCAATAGGCGAGGCTGTGAAGTTAAATCTGTTGAAATGGTTTGGACATGTGTCGCGTGTGCTGTATGCCTAGCCATAGCCTTCCTGGACGGGCAACGTTACCTGACATAGGGTGGATCAGGTTGGAAAGGAGAAAGTTAGTGGTAGTCAAACCAAAACATGGCTTCATCAGTCAGTGGAATCCACAACGGTTAGTTTAAGTCAGCCACGTAGGAAAATGTAGACTTCCTGGTGAGGGTCATCGGGATGGTAAACACCAATGGCTGGAGAAAATCGATGATATGGATCAAAATCTGGCTAGCACAGATGTATCCACTCCTTATGGCTTATAATACCAAATTAAACTATACTATTCTTAGATATTACTATTGTTTCTGTTTACTGTCTCTATTTTACTTTCTTCTCTTTCTTTGGCTTTTGTGTGCTGAGTAAAGTGTGACGATTCAAACTGCTGCACATCGGTGCAAAGTTCTAAGTTGAAAGCAATCAACCTGTTGTTGCCCATACTTTACATTAAAAGCATATGTAGAATTTCTATGGATCACTTTGGCGTTAAGCAGCATTTACAACTAGGTTACCTCAGTGAAAGAACCTTGTAATTCTCTTCGGATTAGGTGTAATGAAACCAGTACAGACAATATGGGCAATAAGAACAGGCGAAAATCACACTCCACTGAAACAGGTCACTGAGTATATGAAAATGGAAGTAATGAAATCGCCGAATTTTACATAAAAACAACTAACTCACGCTTGATAAAACGTCAGACCAGCATTACAATCGAGACGCTGCAAAAGACCATGTAAAGTAGATGCTATCTGACCTGAAAGTATTATATAATCCATCAGTGTTAATTTCAGTCATAATGTAGCAAAATATACGTCCCATCATACAGTTGTTGCACAACATCCTCATCTTTATATTCCCGAGTTCTAACATTTTATCCAGCAGGATGCTTGACACTTCACCATGTATTCATGAGGTTCAGGAGACACAATAAAATCCATCTCAGCCATGAAATCTTTTCTATCCTTTTGAAATTGAATAACCAATTAAAAATGAAAAAAGAAAGAAGAAACATTGGCGCACAATAATCTGGATCCATTTTATTTCGTCGGTTCTCATCAGCTGAGCACAACCTGAATTCTTCACTTAAATAAAAAATTGTACAATTTTAACAAACATTTGTCCATTAGCAAGCAAACTGTCAGAAAGTCATAGTGAAATAAGGCGTTGCAATTTACAATCTCTTCAATCGCCAGACACCTGATTGACACAGGACACCGAGTAGATGTGCTGGAATCATTCAAAATAATTAACAGACAAAGTACCTCAAGTCTTCTCAGGTTTGCTGAAGCTATGGCAATAAAACGATTGAAGCCTGACTAATGTATCCAAAAAGAATCAGTCGTTGGACTTCAGTTACCCTGTTGATCAACCTCTTAGCTACTATTTGTTGTCTAATTTTATAAACTTATCCTTCCACTCCCTCCCCCCTTTATTTTCCGCCTGAGTCTCTTAAGAAAACATTTTTCTTGATCTTCTGAGTTCTGCTCACTGTATTACATCATCAATTTCTCATCTGACCTCATGTGCACCGAAATTTTGAAATTTTGATCTTCTCTTATCTAATTACGTAACTATTACTAATTTCCTTTTGTTACCTCCCCAACAACACAACTGTTAATTTATTTTTTCAAGAAACTTCTCTCTAACAAGATATATATATGTTGTAACACTTTAGACACCTTGTAAACCACAACGCCTTATTTCACTATGACGTTCTGACAATATGCTTGCTAATGGACAAAAGTTTATTGAAATTGTACACTTTTTCATTTTATTAAAGAATTCAGGTTGTACGCAGCTGATGAGAATCGACGAAATAAAGTGGATCCAGATTATTCTGCGCTAATGTTTTTCTTTCTTTGTTCAAATTTATAAAAGGAAATCATTGTATGGAATTAAAATTGAAATGTTCGTTAATAATATAAGGATAAAACCTGGCCATTTTGGTGGAGTACAATACCATTATGGGTAAAATTTATTTTGATAAAGTCTCACAGTGTTATACAATAATATTTACTGATGACCACCTATCGAGAACAATTTATTACTGTTCATTATCATATCAAGGCACTACTAACATAACTTTCTAACTTCGTTTATTTAATTCCACTATTTATCATCGTTTGAATTGATTGGCAGTAGTATTTTCCATATATCCGGCCTTCTTTTCCCATTACAACATTCAGTTTTGAAGGTTATTTGAATAGAATTTAGGTTTGCCAGTAATCACTGTTTGTGCTGCTTGGAATGCAAAGGACAATTTATAGAAACGTGATAAAGTCTGCATATTATTTCGGCACTAAGGGTGGATTACACACTGACGTTTAATTATTTATATGAGGACATTTTGAGCACAATTATCTCTTCAGAATCTAACTGAGTAGAATTGCAGTACCACGAGACACCGATCTAAAAAAACTAGATTCTTCAGTTCAGAAGTAATGGAATATACCATCTGCATTACTGAAAATCCGTATTTACAACAATTCACACGGATGTATTTGTATACATTTGATTGTCACTAGCTGAGGCGGATTGCACACCCAGTTGTAGACGCATTGACTGCACATTTAAGAACACTTTTCACTTGGTGTTGAACTTGTACACTGCAGCAGCATGCACCTTGACCTTAATTTGTTCATTGAATGTATCAATATTTAAGGTTGTTTAGTTACAACTAAAATAATTACACGCAAAAGACTGAGGGGTGAAAGTGAATATTTCATTGCTACATAGTCACAATGAACAAGAGAATTCTTCAGTTTAATCGTTATGTCCATTTCTAACAAGATCTCAACTAAGTCTGTCATGATTCCATTTTATCAAGAACGTCTTGTTTCATTTTGATATCCTCAACATGTGCTTACAAATACAAATAAGTGTTCATTGAATATAAATTTAAAATAACTTGAGGGGTGAGTAAGTTTGTTCGATGTATTTTTAGAAAGTAGAATGACTGAATGAAGAAATATTTACTTTTCAATTAGATCTACATCTCTGACTTTACTCTGTTTAACACTGCGAAGTACTCCTGTGGAAGTGCTTGATGTCCGGAGATGACAAGCTTTCTCTTCTGACTGGCTAACCAACATAGACAGTGTTGCAGGATACGTTTGTGGACTTGCTGTTGCGTACAACCGATTTACTTTGTTGCAGAAGATAAGTCTGTACGATCCAGGTGTAACAACAGAAGACAAGGGCCAGGCAACAGATCAGTTTTATTACGAAAACCAACAGGTATTTATATGTATTTTACGTACATTAATAGGCTTCTGCCCGCAGAAAGAAGGCGGTCTTCTGATTGGTTGTTTGCAAACAAAGGCAGTCTTCTTCTGCTTTCTCGTTTTCGATATTTCTCGGAAATGCGAGCCACTTGTCTGCGAATCATATTTGTCCACGTCTAGGTCAGCTATGATCGGTTGTTGAATCAGCCTAGATTAATTTCTGCCAATCAGCGTAGATCAATGTCTACCAATTGGCTAGCAGCTTGCTCTCACCACACAGGGAT